TGTTATAAAGTGTGTATTACATTGTGGCGACTTTCCACCACTCGGCGCATCCACGCGCATGCGCTTCCACTGTCGCGAGCGTTGCCATGCTACATTCTTGAAGCGCCCACTTCTGTCCTGGCTCTCGGAGAATAAACACCTTCTGATCCCGACTTGTGATTTATAACATTTGGTGTCAGAAGTGTTGAATTTCGAACCCGGCCGGAAGTGACCATCATGCCCAGCAATCGCAGGAGGGACGGGGAGGGTTCGCGGAGGTCGCAGACGCCGCCCCCGGACCTGGAGCAGTTGCTGGCGCGATGGGTCGCCGTGTCGGCCGCTGCCCAGGAGCGCCAGGGGCAGTTCATGGAGCGGCAGGGACAGCTTGTCGAGAGGATCTCCGAGCTGCACCTCCATGCCAACGCCCTGGACTCCCGTGGTCCGGTAAAGCCGCCCACCTTCGACGGGTCACGCGCCTGGGGGGTGTTCGAGGTGCAGTTCCAGAGCGCTGCCCGTAAGAACGGCTGGGGCCGTGAGGAGTGTGGTCGGCGCCTCCTCGCCTCCCTCCACGGGCCGGCCGCGGACATCGTCCAGACCCTCCCTCCCGCTGACTACGAGAATTTCGACCGCCTGCGCGAGCGGCTCAACGAGCATTACGGAGCGGCCCAGGCTGCCTCCGTCGCGGCCGCCGAGCTGAAACGGCGGACGCAGAAGACTGGTGAGTCCCTCCGGGACTTCTCCGCGGACGTCGCCCGCCTGGCGCGCTTGGCGCACCCGTCCTGGCCCGAGGACGCCATCCAGACCACGGCCAGCGACGTGTTCCTGGCGGGCATCGCCGACGCTGAGCTGCGCCGTGCCACCCGCCTACGCCAGACGTCCACACTCAGTGAGGCGCTCACCGCGGCCCTCCACATTGAGTCCGTGGACCTGCTCGAGCCGTCCGCCAAGCGGGGACGCTCTGCGCAAGTCGCGCAGGTTTCTGTTGCGAAGGACAGGGACCACTCCGCCAGCTCCGCGGGGTCCACTGACGGCGCAGACGTGCGCCGTGCTGTTGTCTCGCAACAAGGCAGCAGCACCGACGGCGCGCTGGTCGCCGCCCTGGACCGCCTGCGAGACTCCCTGCGGCAGCCGAGCCGGCGCCGCTCCCGCTCCCCCTCGGGTTCGAGGCGCGGGTCCTCCGCGCGCCGCTCTCGCACCCGCTCCCGCTCACCCCACCGCCGTGGTAACAAGGCAGTGGTCTGCTTCTACTGCAACATGGAGGGCCACTTCCAGCGCAGTTGCCGCAAGAAGGCTGCCGACCTACCCCGACGCGATCGCCGCCATGGAGACCGGCGGGACCGTCGCGACGACGACGACCGCCGCAGCAAGCCCCACGGGTCGGGAAACGGTCAGTAGCCGCGACGGCGGCCACGTCGTCGGCTTCGGTGAGCCGTACCCAGGCCAGCCCTTCTGGGCGGCCAGCCCTGCTGCCCACGAAACCGCCGCCACTGCTTCCGCGCGTCTCGTGGCACATCGACGGCCGCGTGTCCGGCCGGCCGTGTCGCTTCCTGGTGGACCAGGGCGCCACCCTCACCATCCTCAAGCGCGGCCTCCTGCCTGACCCGCCGCCGGCCTCCACCGCCATCCGCATGCGCAACGCCGGCAGCGCCGCTCCTCTGTCCGGCCTCTTCGGCCCGCGCTATGTCGAGCTCTCGCTCCAGGCCGCCAGCATCCCCATGCACGTCTACGAGGGTGAGATCCACGACGACTGCCTTCTTGGCGGGGATTTCATTGCAGCCTACGTGGAGACCCTGGACATCGCCAACGACACCATGGTTCTGCGGGACGGCGGCGAGCGCGTCCGCATGACCCGCGTGACCACGGCGCCCGCGGAGACGGAGCTGTCCATGCGCGTGGAGGCTGTGGGCCGTGTCACCATCCAGCCCGGCACGAGTCAAGCTGTTGCGGTGCACATCAAGGGATGCGACATCTGGTATGCGGATTTAGAGAGTGTGGTGGAGGTTACTCCCACGCTGAGAACTGTGTTCGGAGTTGTTGCTCGCACAGTCCTCGGCACGGATAGGCTGGCCACCCATTCGTGTCGGGAGGGGCGCGGGCAGCGTAAAGAACCGCTGCCCGAGCCCTCAGGAGAACGGGTCTCGTGGACTCGTGCGGAGAGCTTCGAGGTTCAAGCGGAGCTTCGCCCAGCGTGCACCTCCAAAGGTATCCTTGTGTCCCCCGAGCTTCTCGCCGACCAGGACGGCCGCGGCCTGTGTGTCATGGTGCACAACACCAGCCGCCGAGCCGTGACGCTGACGCCGTCCACGTGCGTCGCGCACCTCGCGCTGCCTGGGACAACGCCCGTCAACGCCGCCGAGACTGCCACCACCACCACCAGTTTAGCGGGCGATCTGCCCCAGCCCCTTGCCGACCTACTTGGCCGTTGCAGTGAGGACCTGACCCCCGCCCAGCTCCAGCAGGTGAGAGGCCTACTGGTGGAGTTCCAGGACATCTTTTCCTGCGGCGGGGAAATCGGTCACTGCACGATGGTCGAGCACGACATCGAGACCGGCACCACGGCCCCCATCAAGCAGGCACCGCGGCGGCTGGACTTCCAGAAGCAGTCCATCGCCGACAAGTGCATCGGCGAGATGCTGGAGCAGAAGGTGATTCGTCCGTCGCAGTCACCCTGGGCTTCGCCCGTCGTCCTCGTTGGTAAGAAAGACGGCACGCCGCGCTTTGCGATTGACTTTCGCCGTCTCAACTCCGTCACTCGCAAGGACGCGTACCCTCTGCCCCGCATCGACGACATCCTGGACTCACTTCGTGGGGCGTCCTGGTTTTCGTCCCTGGATCTCAAGTGCGGATACTGGAACATTCCCCTCACCCCGTCTGCCACGGAAAAGACGGCGTTCTGTGTTCCAGGACACGGCCTCTATGAGTTTGTCAGGATGCCGTTTGGCCTTTGCAATGCCCCGGCCACCTTCCAGCGACTGATGGACCGCATGGTGCCCCACGACATCGCCCGGGTCTACCTGGACGACATCGTGGTGCCTGGGCAAACCTTTTCCCAGGCGCTCGAGCGGCTCGAGCGCGTCTTCCTACGGATCCGTGAGGGCCACTTTCTGCTCAACCCGAAGAAGTGCAGCCTCTTCACCCGCCAGCTGGCCTACCTCGGCCACATCATCTCCGAGGCCGGCGTGGCTACGGATCCCGCGAAGTGCGACAAAGTGAAGAAGTGGCCGGTGCCCAAGGACAAGTCGCAGGTTGTCAGTTTCCTTGGGCTAACCCAGTACTACAGTAGCTTTGTGCAGGACTACGCGCGCCTGTCCCAGCCCCTGAACCAGCTGCGGGAGAAGGACCGCCCCTTCGTGTGGACTCCGGAGGCGCAGAAGTCCTTCGACGCGCTCCGGGAAGCCCTGACTTCGCCCCCGATTCTGTCCTACCCCAACCCCAACGGCGGCACGTTTGTTTTGGACTGTGATGCCTCAAACTTTGCCGTCGGCGCTGTGCTTTCCCAGGTCCAACGGGGGGAGGAGCGCGTCATCGCGTACTTCAGCGAGACCTTGGACAAGGCCAAGCGCAACTACTGCGTCACCCGGAAGGAGCTGTTCGCCATCGTCCAGGCCCTGGGGCACTTCCACCACTACCTGACTGGCGCCCCGTTTGTTGTCCGCACGGACCACGCCGCCCTGAAGTGGCTCCGTACCCTGCGCGACAAGGTCGAGGGCCAGCTGGCCCGCTGGTTTGAGCGGCTGGAGGCCTACGACTTCCAAGTTGTCCACAGGCCTGACCGACTCCACGGGAACGCTGACGCCTTGTCCCGTCGGCCATGTGACGCCCTGTGCCGTCACTGTGTCCGCCACGAGGAGCGCGCTGAGGCCCCGGTCAACCGTATCCGCCTGGAGGACACCACCGTGCCTTCAGCGGCTGACCTGCGGAGAGCCCAGCGCGCGGACGACGACATCTACCCCATCCTGCGAGCCATGGAACGCGGCAGCCCGCCATCCGAGACCAGCTTGTCCAGCTCCAGCACTAAGACCAAAGGCCTGTTCTTGCAGTGGGACTCTCTTAGGCTGGTTGACGGCGTCCTTAAACGCCGTTTCGAGGACAACTACGGCCGCCGGGAGACCATGCAGACCGTTCTCCCGCGGGTCTTCGTCCTGGACATCCTGCAGCAGTTCCACGACCAGCCTGGCTCCGGAGGACACCTCGGCTACAACAAGACAATCAACAAGATTCGGGCCAAATACTTCTGGGTCGGCCTGTGCCAGGAGGTCAAACTGTACGTCATGTCCTGTCGCCTGTGCAGGGGGAAGAAAGGCCCGAACGTGCACCGTCGCGCGCCTCTGCGGCTGCACAACGTCGGCGTCCCCTGGGAACGCGTCGGCGTGGACCTGGCCGGCCCCTTCCCGACGACCTCCAGAGGCAACCGCTTCCTCGTGGTCGTCACCGACTACTTCACCAAGTGGCCGGAGGCGATCCCGGTGCCCAGCAACCACGCCGAGGTGGTAGCCAGAGCCCTGGTCGACCACGTGTTCACGCGTTTCGGGTGCCCAGCTGAG